GGTCGGATACGAGTTGGGGTGTTACAGTTGGCTATTGGGTCTCAGTTTGAAACAAAAAAAGAGGCACAACTAGCAATTAAGGAGTATTGTATCAAAGCTCATCTTCAATTCTATGTCGTGGAGTCGGATCAAAAACCTTATTTCGTAAGGTGTATACACCATGATGTTGACTGTAAATGGAGGATATGAGTATAATACCTACAACGGAATATGTTGTGGGAAGTCATAAGGTTCAATGCAGAGCACGCATGTACAATGACCTCCTTGACACAAGACCACAAACATTTAGATTTGGATGTCATATGCTCTTATGTGAAGCTGTTGGTGGAAAAAAAAATCCAAGATTGCTTGTTTCTGTGTTAGAGGCATCCATTCAGAATACATTTGGTTATATTCCAACTTATTACAAGTCATGGATGGCTAAACAGAATACATTTAGAGAAGGCAATGCAAAATAATCAAACACATGCGACATCAATGTTTGTCCACAATTTTGCCTGACTTGATTCTGATTTTGTTATCCAAGCTCTAATTCGACCACATGAGGGAGGTAATTCTACAACATACACTGGTAATTTGAATAAAATGGTCTGATTGTGGTCGATTTCAAGCTTTTAGGTTCTCATGCGCTCACGTTGTTGCTGCATGTATTCACATCAATGTTGACCCATACTTATATGCTGATGATTGTTATAGCCTGTACATTATATGCAACATTTACAATTGTGACTTCAAGTACCTCACAAATGAAGCATACTGGCCTATATGCAAAATTTCTGAGGAATGGATGCCAAATCCTTGATTGCGTAGGAAATTACGGGGTCGACCTAAATCTAGCCGAATTCATACCGATATGGATGATCCTCAAAGAGAGTCAGATCAACCAAAACTTTGTGGCCACTGTAGAGGTGAAGGTCATAACAGAAAACATTGTCCACATCTTCCAAAATGTTGAACTTTATTTTGATATAACAATTAAGGCATAATGTTTTTAGACTTGAATTGAATTTGTTTAAGGTTTTCAATGTTTTCAAAATTAATTCTAAGTTCATTTTACTTGGAATTGAGCACAAAATACATTTTTGTACACGTAGTACCGATACTATTCATATGGTACCGTTACCAAATGTATCGGAAGTATCGATACTCACAAGGTAGTATCGATACTACCATCATTGCTCAAATTCCAGAATCCAAAAATGGTACCGATACCCAAAGGAATACTGATATCAAAGGTAATGGAAGTATCGATACTCACAAGGTAGTATCGATACTACCAACATTGCTCAAATTCCATAATGCAAAAATGGTACCAAAGGTAGTACAAGTATCGATACTCACAAGGTATTATCGATAATACCAGCATTGCTCAAATTTTGGAATTTTTTTTATTTTTTTATTTTTTTATTTTTCTTGCATGACGAGTCGCTTGAGAATTTGTTTAATCCGGGTGTGGGGCCCACCTGGCACGGCCATTAAAAAAATTATATCCCATAGAACTCATCATGCCGGCGTGACGAGTTCCATGGAACTGCTCAAATTGCCGTAGATCCCAAATTAATTGTTTGGGTGCCCTAATGGGCTAATTTAATTATCCAGTTGCCCTAATGGGCCAATTTGGTCGGCTGAGGGAGTGTACATCAGAATTGAGGAAGAAAACAGATCAACAGGGAATCTACAGGCAACAGGAAATTTGTTAGGAATTACAGATGGCAGTAACCAACTTGGTACATTGTAAAGAATAAAAGGAAATCCACTGATGTAATAAGCTATATATGAAAAATTAATGAAAATTTTGAATTTCTTTCACCTTTTCTTGTACTTCTAAATCCCCTTCTATCTTAAAACATAACATTACCTCACGCTTTTGCCCTTCTGGGTGGATGGCGAATAGCTTGACGATCTGATCGAAAACCTTCTTAGAGGATGATAAGGTAGCGGAGGATGGGGTGAGGATGTGGGAGGAGAATGAAAGCACACAGTGGATTTGGGAAGTGAGCTTTTGGATTGTTGAAATCGCCATTGGGAAAGGTTTGGTTGAGTGAACCGTTTATAGTTGTATTTGTTTTCAATAATACGATTCGGTTAATCGGATCGAAGCTTGTATTTTGCAACGCGGTTCCCTACGGTCCCCAAGCTTGCGGTGCTTAACAGTTAAAATTATGAATGAATTCAATGTGACATCTATACTTTCACAAAATATTCACAGTTGAACTTAAGTTTCTTTTTTTGTAATATTTACACTGATCAAACTTTTCTTTAAGTCTTAAATTATAATATATCAAATATTTAAAAATATTTGATTTTACTTTTTATGTATTACAGTAATAATTATACCAAACAGTTTAAATTCAACTAGCATAAGAATTTTGTATATATTTTTCAAAAATTTAACATAGCACTTATATATAGTTTAACAAAATGTCGAATATAATATATGTACTTTTAAAAAATGTTGAATATATTAAGTAGTTTCAGTGATTAAAAAGAGTGTTGTTCTACCTTAAGATCATGAGTTCGAGTAACTGTATCTACAAAGTGTATTGATTAAAAAATATGAATATATATTATTTTATAATCATTACAGACTATTTCAAGAAAGTATAATGCTAATACATGGAATGTTTGTTCATAAATCATATTAGATATTTTAAAGAGAAAATAACCTCAGTGACCAAAATACCTTATAATATACGATTTTAACAAACTTTTTTTGGATTTGTCAAAATGACCAACTAAATCTCAATGCGATCGATAATTCGCAACGCGATCTCCGGTATCGCCAATCAGTTTCCAGATTCGCAACGCAAACATCGACTATCGCAACGTGAACTTCGACTATCGCAATGCGATTTTCCAAATTCATTGCGATAGTCCAAGTTCGCGTTGCGATTTATTCCAAGTTCGTTGCGATAGTCCAAAATCGCAACGACTAGTGGTATTGCATTTGTTTTTTTAAGAATTTTCTCTAAAAATAGTATTCGCGCGGACGTGTCGAAGACACGTATTACCACGACCACGACACGAGACGGACGGTGGCGGCGGCGGCGTGCGAGAGTCCCCCTTGTTCTCTATCACTCAACAAGGAAGTGGGAAAGGCAAGCCTTAAATACAATTCCCAATAGTGTTTCCAATACTTTGTGGGATTGAGCATTACCAACACTTGTTCCCAATACTATGTGGGATTGAGCCTTAAATAGTTATATTATTTGTGAATTATAGTTAATGACTTTAGTATTTGTATGAAAAGTATTTGTGGTTCGTTTAGTTTTCATGCAATTCTAATTTATTTTCAATTGATTGTAATTGCACGATAACAATTTTTTTTATTCTCGCGAGTGATGCAATTTTTTTAAAATGTTTTGCTTAAAATTGCAATAATCGTGATTGATTGTAGATTGACTTTTAATTATGACATATTTAATCGTATAATACTAATGCAATTGGTTGCTGATTCAGTTGTTTTAAGGTGCATGATTGTTAATTGTTTCATGAATAATCCCATAGTATTGGAAACAAGTGTCGGTAATGCTCAATCCCACATAGTATTGGAACACTATTGGGAATGGTATTTAAGGTTGGTTTTTTCACTTCCTTGTTGAGTGATAGAGAACAAGGGAGACTCTCGCGCGCCGCCGTGCCGCCGTTCGTCTCGTGGTCGTGGTCGTGGTAATACGTGTCTTCGACACGTCCGCGCGAATACTATCTTTTTAGAGAAAATTCTTAAGAAACAAATACAATACCATCAGTCGTTGCGATTTTGGAAACTGATTTGCAATACCACCAGTCGTTGCGAATACTATCTGGAAACTGATTTGCGATACCGGAGATCGCGTTGCGAATTATCGATCGCATTGGATTTAGTTGGTCATTTTGGCAAATCCAAAAAAAGTTTATTGAAATCGTATATTATAAGGCATTTTTTGTCACTGAGGTTATTTTCTCTATTTTTAAAAAATAAGTATCATATTAGACATTTTATAAAAGTGAAAAGATAATTATGTGAATCATTCTTAAATGAAGTGAGAAAAAAATTAATTTAATATCAAATATTACCTTGGTTAAAATATAATTATTATATATTTAGTTTGATGTTTAAACAATTGATTTTTCATGAATCAAACTATTTTAATGGTTAAAAGAATAATTGTTATTTTTAGAGGTCTTGGATTTAAACACCATTACAACATTTTTGAACGTTCATTATCAAATGATTATGAATCTTTAAAGCATATACTACTAGTAAGCACCCTATTTTAATTAAAAAAAACAATTGATTCATTTCATAAAGATTTTTTATTTATTATAACTCAATTACATGTTAACATAAATTTTAACCGATGACACAATGTAATTTAAATATATCCTTAAAACTAGATATAAATTAAGAGAAGACGAGGACCACTCTTAAATTTTTATATAATTTAATTATTCTTTTATATTTTTATTAATAATACTTCTTAAAATTTTATAAATCATCCATCACAAAATCTTATATTAGACCCAAAACGTTGGTCCAATTGTCTCTAAGTTATTGTTTTTTAAAAAAAAAATTAAATGTCCAAGTGGCTTGTTCCTTAGAATCCCATAATAATCCAGCTTCTTACCAGTTAAGAATCAGCACGGCAGCAAGCGTAGCAACTGGCTTAACCTCCACGCTCCTTTGAAGCGCGTGCAGCACTGGCATGAAGAAAACACGAAACCCACCACCGGAAGTCTTATGAGCTTAGAATTACGCCAATTCCCTATCTACGTGGCAGTAAGCTATTGGTTTAGTTATACAATAAGAAAAATTCCAACCCTCGAGGATAACGGAGAATGGGCCCACTCATAGTTGATCATTCTCCTCAACTCCTCTGTATCCAAGCTGGCAAACACTTGTCTCCTACTTCTCTCATTCGCTTTTCTCATCATTTTCCCCAACTATGCCTTCCATTAAACCCTAGCCCTAATCTCCCCTTCCTCTTGTAAATCCCCCAATCTTCATGTTCTAACACCGAATTCCTAAGAAACAAAATGATTCCTTTAATTGCATCCATATTTCTTCACTTTATTCTCATCCTCGTGCTTGTCAACTGCGAGCAGGATTCTATCTACGATATATCCTAAAGGCCCATGGGCTACCAATGGGGCTGCTTCCGAAAGGGATAACCCGATTCGACTTCGACGATTCGGGTCAGTTCGAGGTTCAGTTGGATCAGGCGTGCAATGCCAAATTTGAAAGCGAGCTGCATTATGATAGGAACGTGTCGGGGACTTTGAGTTATGGCCAGATTGGGGCCTTGTCTGGGATTTCGTCTCAAGAGTTGTTTCTCTGGTTCCCGGTCAAAGGGATTCGGGTCGATGTTCCTAGCTCGGGTGTCATTTATTTCGACGTTGGTGTCATTTTTAAGCAGCTTTCATTGTCTTTGTTCGAAACACCGAGGGATTGCACGGCGATTCGGGAATCCGGTGATTTGATTCGAGATGGCAATTTATTAGCTATATCAATGGAAAAGGTTCATTTTTATGGATCCTATTGTCTGATTAATGATTTGTGAAATATAATTTTACTTAATAGCTTAATATATTATTCTTCTTGTACAAATTGTAGAATTCACGTGCGAAAGTTGGATATAAATTTGATCAAGAAAGATTTGAGAGGAAAGGCAAAGGAAGTTATTCAATAGCTTGATCGGTTTAGCCTTGAACTTCAAGTGTATTCTGGGCTTCGCCCTCCAACATTGTAAATTTTGGTCGGAATGTCTGCTGTAGATGGTCTTTACTTCTCCATTTGTGTGATTTTGCTTGCATTTTTGTCTTTGTTCTATATAGTGCAGAATTGTCTACATGTCAAGTCCAGCCGGCTCCTAACCACACGAGGCTAGCCAAGGAAGTGAAAGTGGAAGATTAGAAAGTTAATTTGTCGATGACCTTCATGGTTAGGATATCATATGGAAGATAAAATGGAGAAGGGGGCGTTTGGTTGGCTATTTCAGGTGATAAAATCTTTGAAATTTAATTCATATGTTAAAATTTTCATTTGTATTTTGAATATAAGCATGATTATTAAATTGAGTCTCTTTTGTTGTAAAAAGAATTAGATTGATGGACAAGAACGCCATCATGAATCAATCATGAGACAAAGTTCAATGATAAAAGTTTATTGAGTCCCTTATTTATTGCTTGCTAAACACGTGATCCGCCTTTTATGCTTGAATGTTGTGTTTCAGTTGTTTTGTTGATTATTCTTTAATCTTGAGATGCCCATGTTCCATATCAAATATTGCCGTAGTATGAGCTTTTTAATCTAATAAAATTTACGTGATTTTTTAAAAAGGAGGGAATCATAAGCGTTGGTGAGCTGAGCACATCGGTATTTAGTTGTTTTTTGTTTTAACTTTCGTTAAGGGACTTATACTTGCATTAGTATACTCTTCCATATCAAATATTGCCGTAGTATGAACTTTTTAATCTATTAAAATTTACGTGATTTTTTAAAAAAAAGGAGGGAATCATGAGCATTGGTGAGCTGAGCACATCGTTATTTAGTTGTTTTTTGTTTGAACTTTCGCTAAGGGACTTATACTTGCATTGGTATACTCAAGTCTAATCCTCAATGGAATCAAAGAATATGTTATACAAGTGTTTATGACTTTGTGTAGATCATGGTTATGGGATGGGGGTATATTTCTCCCAAGGTTTTTGAACTAGCAGACTTGTCTCCCAAGAAAAGTTTGATTTTATGTTTTTTCCTTTATTTCTTTAAGCATGCAAGAAGTCCCAAGAAGCTTTCTGAAATAGCTTGTTTTAGCATTCTGGATCATGGAACGTGTGGCTTTCTCTGAACCTATGTAGTGTAGAACTTGTAGATCGCCTCCTCTGCCGTTTCTAAAACTTGTAGATCATCATATGAGATGTATGGTGCAACCAATCTTGTAAACAATCATATTCATACATTTGCATTGAACAACTTGTTAACGATATTTGAATCAGATACTGGATGTACCTATTCTGTTAAGCAGACAAGATTGAATGTTTCATCTGAGAATGTTTAAACTGGGAAAAACTACTGTAAACCAGTGTTAAAATTCAGACTATTTTCCTTGATTTCCTATATGTAAAATTTGCAGTTTGTTTGTAACAAGTGCATCAGATGTCATTGAATTAGGCCAATGGACTGTCGTTAAATATGTCTAGTAAGTTTATTGTTTTTCCATTAAGTGCCCGACTTCTATCATGGACACTTTCTTTTGCACATTAGATGTAGCTTTCTCCTAAACGGACTCTCCAAATAGCTGACTTTGGTTTCATTTTTCCGATGGAATTGTGGTTAAAATGTTTATTTTTTAAGATTATGGTAGAAACAGAGGTCTAAGGTACACCTTACCTGGTTAGTACAAGTCCGTAGAACAATTCTGTATTTAGTCTAGAAACAATTTTTTGTGATGAAATTATTGAACCGTTGGCAATACCGACATGAATCGAGGAGAAGATTCAATTGGGTAAGAAGAATGATGAGGCTGGATGGGGTCGACAGGCCAGCTTGGCCTTGGCTGATTTTATACTATACTACACTTATATGGCATGGCATGTGATGTGATCATTGATCAATTGATTATCACACATCCCATTGCACATGCTATGCTACCATGTTTTAAGAGGCATTTTTGTTTGTTTGTGTGTATATATATGGCAGGTGATGCGATCATTGATCAAATGATTATCATACCATGCTATGCTATACTGACCCATGGTGGTGTTGTTTTGTGTATCTTGATCCTACATTTGCACTTTTGATGGTTATATATATGAATATACTATATGTGTTAGTACTTAAACTTTCAATTTTTTTCAAAATCATACCTAATGTTTAGTTTTTATTTTATTTAATACATGTTAAAATTTTAACATCAAATTTTGAAAAAAAAATAAAAGTTTATGTATTAAAACTAACTGAAATGGATAGTTTAGGTACTAAATGTATTAAGTTTTTATTGGCAGATATTAAAATGAAACAAATTTTAAACGTTAGATATGGTTTAAAAAAATGAAAGTTTAGATATTAAAATTGACTAAAATTGATAGTTTAGTAGGAGTAGTGCGAGATGAAAGTCTCATGCACGGTTTTGAATGAGAGAAAGAAGTGAAGAATCCTCTTTTTCGACTCTGACTCTCCCACTCCAGTCGTTGTTTTTCTTTCTGATACTTTGAAAGTAGCTGCTTCGACTTCAGCCACTTGAATTTTCGATATTCTTTTTATTTCTCATCAAACGATTAGTATCTTCTTCTGGAAATCTTAGCTATTCTTAGCATGATATTGGGGAATTGATTGGGTTATTAACGCGGAGCTCATTATTTGAGCAACTACAATGTTGTCCCAAGCTTATGCTATTTCTATCTGTATTTTTTCTTCTCTTTTGTGTTTTTTCTTTTGGCCTCGTCTTTTTTCTCGATCTTTTTTTAATAATCAGAATTTTTTTATTCTTTTTTTTACATATTCGATTTTGAGATATTAGTTTCAATGGCCCAGAAATATCAAAAGAAAAAAAAAAGAAGGGTTTGTCTACTATGTCCAAAAAAAGTGGGGAATGCACATTTGTTTGAAGCAGTTCCCAAGTAATTGTTTTATGCCTTTGGTCACGAATGGAACCTTTTATTAAGCCACTGCGAAAATCCGTTTGTTGCGATTAGCGTATCAAAGCCACTTTGTCTTTTTGAGTTGGATCATTAGCATCCTTGGCATTAGTATAAGTATCGGCGTTTTCTTGGTTACTAGTAAAAATCACTACGCACTTAAATTTTCTTGAACGAATTTCATGCTCTCTTATTATATTTTTCTCGTTTTCTCCCTCATGTTATTCTAAATCGTCGATTAAGTTGTATGGGACTTTTTTACTTATTTCTTCTATTCCACGTAATTTAACCTAGATTTTTGTGTGTGGGGGTGGACATACATACATAGGTTTCAAGTTTGTGCTGTTTTATTTTGCGTTTTTATAATAATATCTTCTCGTGGTATTGGGATCTTTTTCGTGGTATTTCAGTATATGGATCTCGACTTTCTAGTGATTTTATTTGTTTGTTCTCAAATAGTAAAAGAAAAGGGTTTATTCAAATATTGTTATAAATATGTAACTTCTCCACTAAAAGATTTTAAAATTTTTCCATGAATATTTCTTCATCATCCATAGTTCTTAGTATTCATTTTAGTTCCATTTACACCTTTTTAATTTGTTTCATGTTCCTTTGATGTTAACATAGTTGATCAAATTAAAATTTAAAAATAATTTTAAAATCATTGATGAGAATGAAATAAAGCATTAAAATCATAGGTATATGAAGTAATTTATTCAATAAAAACGATAAACATGTTAATAAATAAAACGGATTTAATTTCAGATGTTAAATTCTTTTATAATTTGATCTTGAAAACCCACTGTTTTCTTTTCCGATACTTCGGATAATTTCATGTTGCCATGTCAATGTGCTTCATGTTTAGAAATTACACCCATCGTTGATGTAGTGGTTGTCAAAGACCTTATATCATAAAGAAATATTCAATATATGGCAATTAAGTTATGGGTTAGATTTCGAGGTTTTGCATTTGTCATCAGTACTTTTTTACTCCATATTAATCGTGAAGTTAATTACATTATTGATAACTTATGTTTATGTTTAATCTAATTTTTCATCATTGATTTAAAAAACTATAATATAAGATCATTTTCGTTTTTATTTAATTAAGTTGTAGTTACTATGGGTTAATTGCCGTTAACATTAAACAAATTAGATGATGTGATAGTTAAATATTATATTATCTAATATAATTACATATTTAGTCTCTATACTCAATTTATTTATACTTTTAATAAATTAAAATAAATTTAACCATCCAATTAAAGTTAAGATAAAAATAAAATATATTTGATAATTTAAAGTAATAATATAATATATTTAATAAGTTAATATAAAAAATAATTTTTTAAGTTAATATATATAAAATATTATGAATTTAAGTTAAGTATTTATACACTAAGATACAAAATATATACATCACGTTGTCTATTTTATATTAAGCATTGATCTTGGCTTAATAGTTGGGTGCATGTTTGGTTTCCAAAGAGACCTAGGTTCAAATCCATTTAGCCTCAGTTTGCTTTGCTTTGTTTTCTTTTGTGTCACCTCCGATTGGTTGAAAATAAATATATTAAACTAAAATAAATTAAAATAAAGTTATTCTTCTAACAAAATGGTGACACATGACACGGTTTAATTTATTAAAATTGTGATTAAATCAAGAGAATATGTAAATAGCTGAGACCAATGATTATACCAAAATACCTTAATTGTTATGATTAATTTGATTATTTTGATATTTGTGCTTTCTTAAATATTTTGATATAAAATAAGTACTTAAATTATACTTGTTTTCTTCATTTAAGTGTCTAAAGTTTATTTGATGATTAACACTTTTTTTTATCAAAATAGGTGTCTTACATCTTATCTTAATAAAAGAATTATCATCCAACGAAAAAATGACATATTATCTAATTCGAGTACAAAATAATTAAACTTATGCTATTTATATTTGTATTGATGCCCAAGATCTCTGCAAGGTTAATAGTATTTCCATTAGTATTGATACCTATACTTATACATTTATTCTCAAGAAAGAAAAGAGAAAAAAAATGAAAATTAAAACTTTGTATATACTCTAAACTTCAAGAGGAGAATGAAAAAGATAGAAAATAAATAAATTTTAAATATATTAAATGAGAAAGAAAATAAGAAAAGTGTTCATTTTCCATTTTAATACATAAAAACAATTATTTTAAATTAGAATAATAAAGAAGAGAAAAATAAGTCATCAAATGTTTAAAATTACGCATTTTTAATTAACATCTTTTTCTCTCATTTATTAATTATAACAAACAATTGAACTAACTTACCTCATAGGATAAATAAATCGTTATTATTCCTAGAGGTTATGAATTTAAGTATCAACGACTGTAACAGGATGATTGAGCGTTCATTGTCAAATGATTAAAGAGTATTTAAAAAAATATTAATTTGTAATAAACTTAACTTAATAAAAAAGTATACTAAACAATAGGTGGGAAAATATTTTTTTTCAATTGTTATATTCCTTCTACCACACACCAATAGAAATAATTTTTATTCGAACTCTTTATTTTCTGTTCTTTTATTTTTTTTTTCTTTCAATGTTATCCAACATAGCTTAAAGGACTTGATTAAATTTGATGTTCTAACTATAATTTAAAACTTAAATGGTAAATACTAGTAAAATAATTTGTTAAGATTTTGGTCAAATGAGTTTTATCTTAGTTACTATTATTACCGTGACAACATAAAAATAAAGACGTGGATTCAGTTGTCTTTAAACGAAATATTTATAATAAAATCTTTACTTCAAGAGATTATGATACATAGTTTACTAAAAGAAGTTTGTAGGGATATGTTGTTTTCCACTTCTGGTGTTAAGAAAACTTCTGGATACTAATGAACATATTATTTATAAACCGTGCCCAAAACCCAATCAATAATCAATATATCTTTCTTGAACACATAAAAGAACACAAAAATCCATAGAAATGATATCTATATGCAAGATATGTTGTGTTGTGTATGTAGAACTTATTTGTTTTATGTTAGGTGGATATATAGCATATAATTAGGGTTTCAAGTATCAATTTTTCAACGCACAAACCAGCTGAATTATATTATACATTTAATATGCAATAATTAAGGTGGATGAGAGGCAGCTATTTTATATATCAATGCTATAAATCTTGAGGAAGCTTAAGCTGAATGGTTAATTGGAATTAAAGCAAAGGAATATAGACATTAAAAAGCTCCATCATTATACTATGTATATTTATATAGGTCTAGTTGTTTCGTAAATTAAGAAGTGAAGGGCGGGATTAACATTCAACATTCTTGACGAAAAATCAAAGACGATTGAATTGATTATGATTGATTGTGTTGGCATTGTTATTGAAAAGAAAGAACATTCTACATTTGAAGTTCATTTATTTATCGAGTTTGGTTGTGTGGTTTATAATTTACACAAAAATAGAATTGAAGCTTAATATAACTATCTCGACGTATACTTCATGCCAAACTCGTATAATTAAAAATTACTTCATTTTCTCTCAATTGAATGAGAGAGAGAAATCTGGAAAATGATCATTTATCAAACAAAAGTTTTTGAAACCCAAGAACCAGAAAAGCAAAAGCTACCAAAAGAATCACTCAGTTAACACGAAATGGCTCCAGACTGTATGTAAAATAGATCCATGTATATGGGAATAGAAATTACCAACATAACTATACAAACTATATATATATATATCATGACACAGATTTTGCAAGTTTCTTCAATTCATAATATTCATCACTTTCTGGGTAGAAACTATTTCAGCTGGCTATACAAAAACTATTTCACCTTTTTAAAATTATGTTCTTCGGATTTATTATATAAGTTGATGTATATATAATATAGCTCAGAGAGAGTAGAAATCGGCGATTTTTTTCATCACCTGTACCTGGGTGGTAAGACACTTTATGTAATGTGCTGTCTCATCCAACAAGTTGCATAAATCCATGGCTTCACCACCTGGAACAATCTCTCTCAGTTCGTCTTCTTCGACACAAAAGCCAACCCCATCTTCCCCTGTTGTTGCTGTTGTCGTGGTATTCTCGTTTTGTTTCTCGTGTCTTGTTTTTTTCATGATGGCTTGTTGGGACTTGATGATAGTACTAGTCTTCACTGATCTTCTGCCACAAGATCGGGTCCGAAGCTTCCAAAGCATTGCCCTACTCCAAGTTCTCCTCGACCTAACCGAGTAAGCCATGGACTTGTCGGCAGCAGCCTTGATCCTTTGGTACCGTTGAAACATCTCCGTGGGAGAAGACGAGGAGATCGGTTTATGAGCGTGGATTTTAGACAGGGCCCTGAGAAACCTTGTGGTGAACCTGGATTTTAGGGAACCAGGCTTCGTATGGTCAGGGTTATACATGGTTTAATAGATGAAAAGTTGATTAAAAATTAGGGTTTTGGTTTTTAGGGTAGCTGGATATGGAGATGAAGCAATGGTTTGGTCTATTTTGGAGGGATCAAAGGTACAAATGGTGAAAATGAGCTCAGACCAGAAGTGATGGAGAAGACAAAAGCTGAGTAACTCTCTGACACGGTATCTAAATAGACCAACCAGACATGACTTGTTTAGGGGAATTTTCAAGAGCAAAAACATGTGACCAGAATTATGTAAAGCAATGGAAAGAGAAGGGATTGGAAATGGGAGGTGTAAAGAGGAAGGAGACTTGGAGAATCAACCCTTGATTTGGATATATACCACATTATTACTACTCTCATTCTTCTAAGGCTTAAACAAAAAAAAAAGTACTCATACTATTTCATGTTTTTGCTTTTAAGTACTTAAAATATTTTTTGATCAAACTAAGTACTTAAACTATTATATTTAGTTATTTTAAGACTTATCATTTTCTCAATTGAAAACTATTTTTAAATCTATAAGATATTGATACGTCATATATAATTAGGTATTTTTTTACCAGAAACGTATCAATATCTTATTGATCGAAAAATATTTTTTAAATTAGAAAATGATAGGACTTAAACTAATTAAATATAATAGGTTAAGAATTTAGTTTGACCTAAAAATATTTTAAATACTTAAAGCAAAAAAAATACATAATTTGAATATTTATTTTTACTTTAAGCCTTCTTCTTACTGGTTTTTATCAAATTCATTATATCTTACAACAAACATAATGCTATAAGTTAATTTTTTTTTTTTAAAATGCATTACATCTTAAAAGAATTTGGAATCTAAATATAATCTTAAGCTTTTTTTTAATTATTATAATTTAAATTTAGATATATTTTTTGAATTAATCATTGATATACAATATATTGATATACTAATCTAGATCAGGTTTTGTAGAGGCCTACTATGGGGGCGAATCTCCCACCCTAGTTTTCTCCATAAGCAAAAGCCAGAATTAAAACTCCTTATATTGATTAAGGAATCTAGTACCTTATCCAACTAGATCAATTAGTTGTTTGTTAGTTTAGATGTATTTTAATTATTGATATGATAAAATATTATATTATAATTTTGGTTTAAAAATTTATATTTTTTATTAAATGAATATTATTTATGACAAAATATTTTAGAATAGTGTGAATTACAATTAGAATTGAATTAAAGGCGTTTGCTTTCGTTTTCAGATTGGGGTTATAGAGGAGAGAAAAGTGAGTTTTGTGGGGCTGAAATGTCCAACCACCATATGAGCGCACATGGTTCCATTTTCCCACTTGGACAGTGGGACCTGTCTTTTTTTCTCACTTTCTTCATCTATATATTCATTAAAGTTGATTAATGTTAATAGTTAAATTTAACAGTTTTTTTTAAATTATTTAGGGAGATTGTTAAATGATATTTTTAAAATTATATTATTTTTTAGTATTCTTTAAATTTATTTTAGAATTTTAATAATACTTTTAAAATTTTTAAAAAATATATAATGTTATATGTGATAGTAATATCTCAGAAAAATATTAAGATTTAGATGTTAATATTTTTTTATATTTTTTTAATTGAACGTGAATTAAGTGACCTCAATAGTTTAAGGATTGTTGTTAAATCTTGATTTCCCGGGTTCGAGCATCGTGTATGCAGAGATATATAATTTATTGACAAATAATTGAGAGTCTTTGAACATACATGTACTATCTTGTACCCACCTCAAACTAATGATTAAAGTTGATCAAAATACTTAATTAGTTTAATTTTTGAATTTGAGGATATGGTTCATTGATTTTTCAATTCACCCTTATAAACCTAGTATTTATTACAATTTTTTTCCATTATTGTTATTTCTTAGGTTAGTTCTCTGAAAGAAAAGATCAAAATTTTCACGTTAGTATTTTACATTCTTCACCTTAAAGTTAAGTTTTAAATTAGTTCATATTTGAATTCGTTTAACCACAGTAATTATAACTTGGAATGCCTTGTTTTTACTTTATGAAGGTGGTGGTCACCGGTGATGGCGGCAGCAGACCCAAATCACATACGCAAAAAGACAATCATAATCATAATCAGTTTGTTCACTACAATGCCCGATGATGGATTGAACGAAATGATAACTCAAATTTGTCGCGATTAATCAACTACAATCCAAATTTCAACCAACCATAAAGTTGTTTGACCATTCAACCAAAAGAAAAAAAAAATTAAGTGAAAAGAAGCCATTGTTTCTGCTGATCATGGGAGAAACGTATACAAATATACCATGGAAGAAGAAGAAGAAGAAGAAGAAGGGCAACTTTGCCGACCATTGTAGCGAGATTAAAGTTGTGACTTAATACATCTGAAATCTTAGTTTCATTAAATAAGAGAGATGTTAGGTTTTTCTGATCACAAAGTCATCCGTATATATTTATATGTGTGTGGTTTTGGGTGGACCGCATGCATGTATGTTTGGGGAAAGTGACAATTTGCTAGCATTGTTTCGGTTCATGACAACTTGGAACTGAGTGTAAACTTCCGGTTTAACTCCATCAACTTCCTTTTGTGTGTTTTGCTTTTATTATCATCATTTGTCTTCCTTTTCTAATTTCATGTGTATCGTTAACCTTACTGCACCACAATTAAAGGTGTGTACGTGTAGAGTGACAGATAACTCCGCTTCACCAGCCGCCACTTATGCCTTTGGTTTCACCGATGACGCGGAGGCGGCGGACCAGTGGCCTGTAGTTGGGTGTTCTCTATTTTTAGGGTTTGGTTCACTTCCCCATCTAGAAGGTTGGTCTCACTAGGTACTGGTATCCAGGTATGGACCGACGGGGCGGGTGAGGACGGTCACTGTTATGTATGGCTCATAAAAAGTCTCGTTGTGGGGTTACGAATTATGTGGGTTGGGGGTGTGGGGGCGCAGCCCCCGTGGTACGATACAGGGTTGATTTTGTAATTATGTACCAGGGTTTTCTATTATAAATAGAGATGTAACCTAGACCTAAAATATCATTGAATAAAAACTTCTAGCGCCGCCTAGGCACCGAGGACGTAAGCACATTGCCGAACCTCGTAAAATTCTCGTGTTCTTTCGTTTTCTTTACCCGTTTTCGTCAACAATTGGTATCAGATGTCAGGAGCAAAATTCGAAGTCGCGAAATTCGATGGTCATGGTAACTTCGGATTATGGCAAACGAGGGTGAAGGATCTATTGGCGCAGCAAGGGATCTTGAAGGCTTTGCGACCTACAAAGCCGGCGTCGATGGATGAGGAAGATTGGGAAGAATTGCAGCAGCGAGCGGCAGGAACCATACGATTATGCTTGGCGGACGAGGTCATGTATCACGTCATGCATCTATCGTCTCCAGACGAAATTTGGAGGAAGTTGGAAAGTCAGTTTATGTCCAAATCCTTAACGACAAAACTGTATCTGAAGCAGCGGCTGTATGGGCTGAAGATGCAGGACGATCACGATTTGGCGCAACACGTGAATGTCTTCAATCAAATCGTTTCTGATCTGGCTCGGCTTGATGTGAAAATTGAGGATGAAGACAGAGCGATGATTCTGTTGTGTTCGTTGCCTTCCTCTTACGAACACATGGTGACTACTCTTACATATGGGAAAGAGACTATCAACGTTGAGGAGATTACTGCAGCCTTGTTGGCTCACAACCAGCGGAAGCAGAATGCAGGGGAAAGCTCTCAAGCCGATAGCTATATGTCAAGGGTAATCGAGATCGTGGACGGAAGCCAGAGAAGGCAGGGTCCGGGAAGCGGAATTCCAGATCCAAATCCAGGGATAAGAAGACGATTCACTGTTACAAGTGCAAGGAGGCGGGACATATGAAGCGAGACTGTCCGAAGTTGAAAAAGCAGACGGATGAGAAGCGTGATGGCTCATCCAAGTCTGTGAACGTGGTCGAGGATGATACTTCTGATTGCAGTAAGGGTGATATGCTTTCTATTTCAACGACACAATTGACGGATGCTTGGATTCTTGATTCTGGATGTTCTTATCACATCACGCCAAATAGGGAATGGTTTTCGACATACAGGCCGGTTAATTCTGGTTCGGTTTATTTGGGTGATGATCGATGTTGCAATATTGTTGGTATTGGTGATGTCAGAATTAAGATGCACGATGGCTCCGTTCGGACGTTGAGTGGTGTTCGACATATCCCAGACTTGAAGAAGAATTTGATTTCCTTGGGCACTTTGCACAAGAATGGTTTTATCCCTAAGGCTGACGATGATAGGGAAACCATTCGGATTGTTAAAGGAGCATTGACTGTGATGAAAGGCAAGATGACTGCAGGGAATATCTACAGATTGTTAGGAGTACCGTTGCAGGTGGAGTTCACTCTGTTGAGTCCTGTGATGATACGACAAAATTGTGGCATATGCGCCTTGCTCATCTTAGTGAACGTGGTATGGCAGAATTACACAAGAGAAACTTGTTGCATGGTGTCAAAAGCTGTAAGCTCGATTTTTGCAAGTATTGTGTTCTTGGTAAACAGACTAAAGTCCGTTTCAAGACTGCGAAGCACACAACTCAAGGGATTCTTGATTATGTGCATTCTGATGTATGGGGCCCTTCCACGACATCGTCTTTGGGTGGATCTAGGTACTATGTTACTTTTATTGATGATTTTTCACGGAAAGTTTGGGTGTATTTTTTGAAACATAAATCTGAAGTTTTTGAGAAGTTCAAGCTGTGGAAAGCTGAGGTAGAAAACCAAACAGGACGAAAAATCAAGTGTTTGCGGTCTGACAATGGTACGGAGTACACAGATTCACAGTTCCTACAATTCTGTAAGGAGCATGGGATTCAGAGGCATTTTACAGTGCGCAAGACACCACAACAGAATGGTGTTGCGGAACGAATGAACAGGTCGTTGAATGAAAGAGCCAGATGTTTGAGGTTGAATGCGGGGCTTCCCAAACACTTCTGGGCTGAGGCTGTTAACATGGCGTGTTACCTTATCAACAGATCGCCAAGGGCATCGCTGGCTGGGAAAGTTGCAGAAGAGGTATGGACTGGTCATGATGTTAGTTTTGATAACTTACGGATTTTTGGTTGTCCTGCTTATGTGCATGTACCTGCTGATGAGAGATCCAAACATGATGCAAAATCGAAGGAGTGCATTTTTCTGGGTTACAAGAAAGGTGTCAAAGGATTCAAGTTCTGGGATCCAGTTGCGAAGAAAGTTGTGATTAGTAGAGATG